TTTACCCTCTGAGCCATCCTACCCTCTTTGTCTATTTGAATAATGTTTATTTCCCTCAATTATATATGAGATGTGCTCATTAGTTATCAGTAATTTTATTCGGGAAAGTGTCTACATAAATTGTGTGTGCATATGAACATATGTGGTCCACACGCATGTGTACTGGTGTGTATGCAGGGCTTTGAGTGTCCTGTCCTAATCACTCTCCACCTCATTGCTTTGATGCAAGGTCTCCTCCTCCTGAACTTAGTGCCCATGTGTTTTCCGGTGAGGCTGGAAGCCAGCAAGGCCCGTGATCCTCCTGTCTGGACACGTAGGTGCTGGGAAACAGACTGGTCTTCCTATGTGAGCAGCAAGCACTCTGAGCCACTGAGCCATTTCTCCAGCCCCACCAGTCCTTTCGTGAAGCTGTGTGTTGACTGAGAAATTCCTCGTGTAGTCTGCACTCAGACTTCGATCGGTTCTTTAATAATTCTTCCATTCCAAAGGTCCTTTCCAGGCCCAACCGTTTCTCCCCTTATCTTTATTATACTTTGTTTCTGAGGAAGGTCTCCCTGAGTTGCCCAAGATGGCCTAGAAATCACAATCCTCCTGTGTCAACTTACTGAGGGCTAAGATTACAGCTATGTGCCTTGAAATTGCCTTTTTGTGGACAAAAGTTTAAATTCTTAATATTCTATCTAGACCTGTGTGTTAGGGTTGGCCCCCAAGACCATGCTACTGGATGTGGGGCAGGCAGAGAGTCTTTAGCCTGTTGAATGGTGCCCTGGAGATTGGGGGCCTAAGCCTCTCCGCTTTCCCCTGTGTTCTCTGGCTCACGGTTAGGTACGGATTCAGTTTCTCCACAGACTTCCACCATGTTGTGCTGCCTGACCAAGTGGACCACAGATCAGGGTGCAGAGCCTCCATCCAACCCTGGGAGCCAAATACCCGCCTTCTCTTCATAAGCTGGCCTCGGGTATTTCCTAATAGTCAGAAAGCTGACTGCACGTAGTTTTAAATGTTTGCAATTCAGCAGGGCGGTGGTGGCGCACGCCTTTAATTTCAGCACTTGGGAGGCAGAGGCAGGTGGATCTCTGTGAGTTCAAGGCCAGCCTGGTCTACAGAGTGTGTTCCTTGACAGCCAGGACACAGAGAAACCCTGTCTCAAAAAAACAAAAACCAAACCCAAACAACTGTTTACATTTCAAATATAGACAGTAAAGAGCAACATCAGGAAGCTGTGTGTGCCTGCAGCCAGGGTTTCACCTGTGACTCCGTGAGCTGCAACTGAGTAGAAGACATCCCTGCCTCCCTCACGCTTACCCCAGGTGTTCTTACCCAAGGCCACCCTCGCCTTCTGCTCCCTCTCCCTCCTCTTTTCCAGGGTTCTCTGCTCTCTTCTGTCCGTTCAGCTTTCCCTCGACTAGTCCATATCAGCACGATTTAACCGTAAGCAAACCTCTCCACCCTCCATCCTTCCACAGCCCCTCTAGATCCAGCCTGCCTTTCTCCAGCCGACCTCTGTGCTGGCCATGAGCCCATCTCTTGGCTTGTGCTCTTTCGGCCTGGTGGGAATCATACAGCGACTCCAGTTTCCTTCGGGAGGCCCTGAGCTCGCCTGCTGGGGATAACTCATAAGCAGGAAAAAGCTGCCATCTTCTTGAGGAAGTGAGTACTTAGCAGAGTACCTGGAAGTCAGTCAGTACTCAAGCGATGACGTTGACTCGTCCCTTCCACCCGCAGCAAGGCATCTGATAAGAACAATTGTCACAAGGCTACTAGGTGACAATACCCTACAGGTACTGTTGAGATCCAGCTGGGCCCTGCCCTAACATTAATCCATATTATGTACAACAGTGGCTTTTCAGACTTGCCTTGCCCTGAGAGGTTTCATTCTGCAAGCAGTTCGGGCTCTGTTCTGAGGACGGAGGATGATTGTGTATCTTTCTGGTAACAACTCATGAGATAGCGACTGAAAACATCACACTCTGGGAGTAGAGGGGGCACTGTATGACTCCAGTGGGGGAGAACGACTGAAAACATCACACTCTGGGGGTAGAGGGGGCACTGTATGACTCCAGTGGGGGAGTAACACTGAAAACATCACACTCTGGGGGTAGAGGGGCACTGTATGACTCCAGTGGGGGAGTAACACTGAAAACATCACACTCTGGGGGTAGAGGGGCACTGTATGACTCCAGTGGGGGAGTAACACTGAAAACATCACACTCTGGGGGTAGAGGGGCACTGTATGACTCCAGTGGGGGAGTAACACTGCTGGGCGCCTGAGCATATTGAGACCGTGTTGGGGAAACCAGGCACTGGGGCATGGTAACAGTCCCTTACTGGCCTGTCATCTGGCCACCTGATGTGTACATCAAAGGGCAGACAGGCAGAGAACCCCCTGCTGCTCCCTGCAAGGGGCTTCAGCTTAGCCCAGCCCCCCTCCCCCAACATCCTTCTAGATCTGCTGTCCTGGAGACCTGTGCCCATTAGTGGCTCTGTGCCCAGTCCTGCCCTGTCTCCATCTACAGCTGGACTCAGCACTACAGCTCTGCTCTGGCTTTGCAGCTGGAGGCTACAACAACAGCTGCAGGCCCTCCCCTCTCTGGAGACCGCCAGCTGGTTTGATATCTCAGCTCCACACAGTCAATATGGCTATCGGGTTCCCAGCTTTGGCATCTGGGGCCTCTCCGGAACTCCTTGCCTCTTTAACCCTTCTGTATCCATTCGATAAGCTATGTATATGCACACACAAACACACGTTTACTATGTGTATTATATAATCTGAACATTGATATTAATAATTAAGACTGGAACAAAAGCCTGTGTTTGCCTCGTTCAACACAATCCAGGAGGGTGTGGTGGGAGGGGTAGCTGACAACTACAGCCCTATGACCGGATTGTGACTCAATGAATTTGACATTGTGGGAGGACACACTGTATCGTTTGTGTTTCTGACAGTGTGTGTTCATGACAGGGACGCCAAAAGGTGGTTCCCTCTGCTACCTCCCATCTTGAGGTTATCACCATTCTAGATGTTTCTCATAGAGTTCCCAGAGGGTCAGTCTTCCTAACAGGTGCCACTGATGCTATCTATGTGGCCTCGGGGATGGGTACTCTGGCACCAGATGGTCACTTCCACGGATGTTGGGGTTCTCCCCCCCCAACCCCTCCCCATTCCTCTGTTTAAGGTGCTTTACACTCTGCAGACAGAGCCCACAGTATTTCAGGCTGCAGGGGGCTTGGTGGCCTGGGACCACACTCACACCAGTGTGGGCTCATGTCAGCTCTTCTGCAGTGCAGTGGTTTCTGGAGCTCAAACTTTGCTGCTTCTGGGAGGAGAAGCCTCTAGACTCAGAGGAACTGCATGCTGTTTCAAACTTTCGCTGGGCTTTCCGGCTACTCTGTAAAGGAAGAGGGCAGAGGCACGACCCGAGCCAACACAGTAACTACACAACCACACAGCCACTGGGTACAAAGTCTCCCTGAGAAAGCAAGTTCATGGTGCTCAGATCCACTGAAAGGATGGTCAAATATGAGTCTTTTCTATCAAATACTATAAAACTTGTGTTTTGATTAGCAACTGCAATCATTATCTCCTTACCTTTTAAGACTTTACGGGGATGTTTTAATCTTCCCTGCCCAGTAAAACTTTTGTTTACACAAAGGTTCCNTATAATGAAATCGTCTTACCTCCCCCACCTTGTTAGACTTTTAAGCAAATGTTCTAATCCTCTCCACCCAGGAAAACCTTTGTTTACCCAAAGGCTACTCTGAATTTGATGGCCTGGAGCACTGACCCTTTTCTCCTTTGAGCAGTGACCTCTTTCCCTTCCTCTTTCATCCCCCTCCCCCATGAGTTGAATAACATCGGACCTTAGCCAGTGGGAAAAGACACATTACCCACCTGAGTTAGAATAAAACCAAACGCACTTCCTGTCTCTGTGTGTTCTGCCCCAGCACACCCTGCTATTAAGAGTAAAGGCCGCCTTGTCCAGACACTTCATTTGGAATGGCGGTCTTGCCCTCAACCATGAGGATTCGAGAGAGCAAGGATAAGAACTTTCCTCTTGGAATCAGCTGGCAGAGTGTGATCTGTGGGCTGTGGAGCAGATGGTAGCATTTGGTTCCTCTGCAGGCTAGGGGCTGAGGAAGCAAACAGATATTTTCCCGGGGACTGGTGGGCAAACCAGAAGTGAAGAAGTGCCACTTTGTTTATATCATGTGACCGCCTTGGAAGTGCTGCTTTGCCACCAGGGTGGCTGTCCTGCCTGATCCACTGCTGGGCAAGCTGTTTGAGGCTGTGAATATGCTCACACCACCTAGCCCTGGCTGGCTCCCCAACTCCTTTACAATGTGCCCTGACCTCACCTGTGCAGTACCCACCAGTCTTCACAACTGGATGATCCAAAGGTCAAGGTACCAGATGAATCCAGGATGCGCCCTTAGAGGCACCTTGGCTCCTGAGTACTTTACTCTTTCTATGGTCACCAGCAGCCTCCTGCCTCCACACTCAAGATCCCATCAAAGCACTCCTTAACACCCTCTGCTGGCTCTTCAACGTCTGCAAAGGTCTCCTAAGCTGACTGGAAAGTTTCAGTGGAGGAAAAAGACGTTTGTTTGATTTCGCCGCTCGGGGAATAAATCCGGCTGTTCCATGGAGCCTATTCTGAGGTTTTCTTGGAACTGAACAGGGTCAGCCAGAGTGGTCAGGGCAGGTCATTACTTTACCCAGGGGGCTCCAAACCATCGCTTTCCTGCCTTTCTCCTTGGACTCCAAAAAGAGCCCTGGAGGGTTCAAGAAATCCTGCTACCTTTAGGACCTGGAGGATCCGATTTGGGGGGGGGTCACCCTCTCCGCCCCCCAGCAAAGTCGACACCCGGAACTGCTCTAATAAGAACCAGCCGACTGAGCTCCGGGAGGGCTGCGGGCCGGGTGTAGGACCTCAGAGGCGCGCGCCCGGCTGAAGGCGTGTGTGTGTGTGTGTGGGGGGGGGGTGTGTGTGTGTGTGTGATGGGAATGGGCGGAACAAATATGACCTCCCCCATCTGGGTTTGCCCCCTACCCTCAAGGGCCGGGATCCAGCCCTCCCCTGCCCAACCCGAGTAGAATTCAGTGTGTGCTTTCCCAGGGAGGGCGGACTCGGAACTCCCCAGCTTCCGCCCTTCATCGGGGTCCCCCAAGACTCCAGACTCTTCGGTCTACCTCTTCCTCGCCCTGGGATCTGGGAACAGAGACAGCTGTAGTGGCAGGGAACGGAACCTAGCCTAGACAGCTGGGAGGGTCGCACGTGAAGTGAAGCACGTGGATGCGGTCCCCAAGAGGGGACCAGAGTATCACCTCAGTTCGGTTCCCAAAGAATGACCAGGGCGTCTTGGGGTGGGGGTTGGCGCGCGGCCGAAGAAGTGGGAGGGGACAGGTTGGGGGGTGGTCTCTGAGGAGGAGCCAGGCTGGACTGTATTGTTCCGCGCTCAGCTTCTCCAGTTCTTCTGCCCGCTTCACACCCGGTGGGTGCACTTCAAGGCAGAGGCGCCCCCCTCCCCGCGCCCCGAGACGGTGCAGAGAAGGGGAGGTATCACCTGAAACTCTGCATCGGAATCGCGGTGGCGGAGGATACCGGTGGAGATTCAGAGTTCCTGTTCCCCGCCGCACCGCGAGCCTTTGCAGGAGTGTGTGTTTGTGTGTGTGTGGGGGGGGGGGTGTCCCCCGCGATGGCCGCTGTCCGTCCGGGCCCCGCCAGGACCACGTGCGGACGCTGGAGCACCGCTCTCTAGCCGGCAACAGCGCCTCTTTGCCCCCGCCCGGCGATGGGGAGCAGCGGGTCGGCGTTGAGGGTCTGTGCGGACCACCGCGGGGGCATCAACTGGCTGAGTCTGAGCCCCGACGGGCAGCGCTTGCTGACGGGCAGCGAGGACGGCACGGCTCGCCTCTGGAGCACCGCCGACGGCCAGTGCTGCGCGCTCCTGCAAGGTAGACCGGCGCGCGTGCTCGCGACCCTTTCAGTCTCTTCACGCTCACCTGCCCGGTTCCCGGGTCCTCACTCTTCCGGGCCTGCAGCCCCTTCTGGAAGAGTGGAGCTCTATCTCCTTCGCTTCGGGGAGCTCACCCACCCTTGAGCTCTTTGTGGGGCGCCGTGAGAGTCCGAGCGTGCTTGGGTGTGGGTGACTGAGGGACGCGCATTCTAATGACTGTTTTGTCAACCACTTCCGTGCAGTCTTTAGCGTGACTACAATTTTTAACAAAACAAAAAGAAATCGCGTCCCTACCCTAAAGAACATTTCTTGCGGCACTCCTTGACCTGGTGACCTTTGGCGGACATTTTCACTTGGGAGCCTTTCTAACAATAGAGGTTGTTGAGGTTCCACGCGGCTGTGGGCTACCTTCACACCGTGAACCTAGCCCAGACCGATGTCACCTTGTTAGGAACTTGTCCATCACTAAGGGACACCCTTGAGATTTCAACTCCCTCTCCCCCAAGCCCCCCTCTCTCTCCCTGCTCTTTTTGGCCTCATCTCAGGTGTGCAGAAGAAAGGGGAGGATTGATTCAAATTTCTGGGCTATGGGGTCAAGTCTATCTTGCATATTTAAATGAGACAAGGAATATCTTGCACAGAAATGTATAATGTGTCTTATTTATTTATTTATCCATTGATTCATTCCGGTCACATTCTGGGCAGCCTTGTCATGGGTGCTCCCCACACTGCTGTATGGAATCCCTCAGGCCGCTGTTGCCTCTGCAGTAGCTCCTGCAGACTTGAGGCATGCTAAGCTTTTTGCTCAAGGTATGGTTCTTTATCTCCAGCTTTTCCACTGTGATCTGCAAATGCGGGGGGGGGGGGGCTGGGAGGGAAGTGGGGAGGGGTTAGTCTGACCCGGAACTTACCAAGTAGGCTGGTAACTCTAAGGACGCTACCCTCTCCGCCTCCCCAGCTCTAGGATTACAAGCGCACATATATGTATCAGCATGCCTGGCTTTTCACATGCGTGTTGGGGCTCAAACCCAGGTTTTCAAGCTCATGTGGTGGGCTCTGGACATCTTCATAGCCTCCCCCACCCTCTTCTTTTTATTAGCTTTTTCAGTCAGTGTCTGTAGACATGAGGGCTTGCTGTTTGTTGGGGTTTCTGTCCTGCTCAGTTCCCACAGCCATTTAGCCCCAAAGAATCACACAGAAGTTTACATTAGATATAAACTGATGGGGCCATTAGCTCAGGCTTCGTATTAGCTCTTATAATGTATACCAGCCCATTATTCTAGTTTATGTTAGCCACGTGGCTCAGTACCTTTTTTGGCGGGGTAGGTCACATCTTGCTTCTTCTGTGATCTGGGCAGGACTGGAGAACGAGCTTCCTTCTTTCCAGAATACTCCTGTTCTCATTGCCCCACCTCTACTTCTGGTTGTCCCGCCTATACTCCCTGCCTGGCTACTGGCCAATCAGTGTTTATTTAAAACATGATTGACAGAATACAGACGATTCTCCCACACCAAGTGTCTCTTTGGGTAGAAGTCATTTTTTGTTTGTTTGTTTTCTGAGACAGGGTTTCTCTGTGTAGCCCTGGCTATCCTGGAACTCACTCTGTAGACCAGGCTGGCTCTAAACACTCACAGAAATCCCCCTGCCTCTGCCTCCAGAGTGCTGGGATTAAAGGTGTGCACAGCCCAGTTCACACCTTATATTTTAAGATATGTTGTCTGTATACTTTACTATGTGGTTCAGTTTCATGGACTAGGATCAACAGCAGTTTTTTCAATCAAAAGTTTTATTTCATGTGTATGGATATTTTGCCTAAGTGTATGTCTGTGTACCAGCTGTGTGCCTGGTACCCAAGAAGGTCAGAAGAGGGCATCGACTACTCTGGAACTGGAGTTACACATAGTTGTGAGCCATCATGTGGGTTCATACAGAACCCATACCCTTTGGAAGAGAAGCTAGTGCTCACTGGATCCTGACCTGAGAAAACTGCCTGAGAGGTCTGTGCTGCCCTGTTGGGTTCCCAGTTGAGGAAGGGACTTGGCCCAAAGGTTGTAGCCTACTGTGGGTGCTCCACATCCTTCTTTGGCCTCAACTTGCCCTGTGAGCCACTCGTGGTTGCAAGCTCAAGGAGGGAACTTGCCTGAGACAGGGCCCAAGCCAAGTTAACTGTTGGCCTTGAGAGGGTCAGGGAGAAAAGTGGCATATAGGTAGGGGCTCAATGAGGAGATGAGGTACCCGTTTTTTTGTTTTGTTTTTCTTTTTTTTCTTTTTTTCTTTTTTCTTTTTTTGAGGCAGGGTTTCTCTGTAGCTTTGGAGTCTGTCCTGGAACTAGCTCTTGTAGACCAGGCTGGCCTCGAACTCACAGAAATCTGCCTGCCTCTGCCTCCCGAGTGCTGGGATTAAAGGTGTGCGCCACCACCACCTGGCTGTTTTGTTTTTTCTTGTGAGTTAACAAATCATACATTTAAATTTTATTTTTATTTTTTTTATCTTATATATGTGAATGTTTTGCCTACATACATGTCTAGGTACCACATGTGTGCCTGATGCCACAAGAGAGGTCAGAACCCACGGGACTAAGCTGCAGATAGTTATGAACAGCCTTGTAGGTGCTGGGAACTGAACCCAGGTCCTTTAGAAAAGCAGCCAGTGCTCTTAACTGGTGAGCTGTCTATCCAGGCCCTTACAAGGCATAGAGGAGGCCTGCTCCACACAGGCAAATCAATATTTGCTCAAAGAAGAAGTCCATGAAAATGTCATCTGTTTTAGGGACAGCACTTTGGAGGCCACTGTTGGTTGAGTGGTAGGTTCCCTGTGGCCTGTTCAGAAGGCGAAGGGGAAGGGTGGCAAGGTAGTGGGTGAGGTTGTGGGGAGGGCCATGGCTGGACTGGCGCTGAAGGAATAGGTCCCGACTTAGATAGGTGGTAGCTGGGGACAGATGGGCCTGACTACCACACAGAAACTTAGGAAGCCCTGATGTGATTGATCTCCAGTTCTGAGTGACAGCCTGCAGACAGTCCTGGTGCTTTGGACAGTGTCCACTCTGGCACATCTGGGGACCAGATGTCACCTGACGGGGTCCTGGCGCCCTCTATAGAGGGCAAGTCATAAGCATCTAAGAAAGAGACACTATAAAGTGGAGAGAGTATACATATGAAGTAGAGCCCTTGGTCATCGCTTCTCCCAGGGGAGCTGTAGTTACAACAGCCTGGAGGCAGCTGTGGAGAAGGCTCCTCTGGGGCAAGGGGACCTTGACTTGAGAGGGCTACAGGCAGCCTGAAGCAGCCCTCTGTGTCAGAGCCCAGGGTGACATTTCAGCCTAAAGTCTCCCACTGTGAAAGTTCCTGGAAGTCAGAGGACCAGGGACCACCTGGCAAGCCTCCCTTTCTTCACAGTTATAGTACCTGCGTGCACTCCAAGGGTGGGGGAAGGAAATGTTAGTAGTGCCATTCCTGTAACCAAGTAACAGTTGAGGTGACCCTGGGGCACAAAAAGGGAAAAGAAGCCTCATTTTCTACTCTGTCCGAGGCTTGTTGTGGTTGGGGTCCCCTGCAGCCTTGGGTCCTGAGCCACTTTTCCTGTTTGCAGAGGAAGCAGCAGATCCTGGCAAGTCTTCAGTGCCCAGGGAGGCTGCCTTAGCAGGAGTCCCCAGGGCTGCTCTTCTGCATGCAATAACTACGTCTTATCTGCATTCTTTATCCCTTCAAAAATATTTACTTTAAGCTTGGCGTTTTTTTGCTTACTCTGCACAATTCCAACAGCTGAAAGCTGAGGTCCCAGGAGGTGATAGGCCCAGAGCTGGCAGACACAGCTCCTCCCACCCTCTGGGGTGACCCCCGCCAGCCCTGGGTCTGACCCATCTGTCTCTTGATGGCACCGGTTGTAAGTGTACTGGGGTGGGGTGCGGGTTTTGGGGGCGGACAAGAGACAGGCACAACAGAGTTCAGGCCCTCTGCTGGCGGGCTCTGACCCATGACCCAAGTGGGTGTGTCTGCTGATTGGGGAGTGAGTTCCAGGAGACTGAAGAGGGGCCTGCCTGTAGGGGTTGAGTGTTGTGGGATCCTCACTTGGCTCAGTGTCTGGCTGCAGAGGGCGGAGGGCAGGGGCCGGCAGGTCAGCCTGGCCTGCAGTAAGAGACGGATGTTTCACATTGAAAACTGTTGCTTTCATTTTTTTGCCTCTTTTCTTTCCAGTCTGTGTGTTCAATCCCTCTGTCCCTAACATGCCATAAAGCTGCCCACACCTCGGGTCCTCAACAACCAGGCTCTGTCCAAAGTTCCACAAAATCAGGGTGCCATTATTCAATAGCTACACGTGGCTCTCAAGTGCCTTTTCATGGTCCTGCACTTGACCCGTTGTGTAGACGGAAGGTCAGCGGCTGGGTGCTGCCGGAGCAGCTGCTCTGGGCCTCTGCCAGCCTTGGCTCAAGGCCCTTCGGGGCCACGGTGGCGATGCCCATCCAGAGTTATGAGGGGGCCATGGGAGGTAACCCCCATGCAAAGCCATTAGGGAGGCCTGTACCCGGTAGGCCTGGAACACCTCGGTTGCTTTTCTCGGGGCATCTCAGCTCCCTAGAGGCATCAAGGAGAGTGAGGCAGATTGGTCTCAGGGAAAGTTTGTTGACAACTTTGAGAAAAATATTTATAAACTCTGGCAAAAGTCTGGGCTGTGTTTTGCCCTCAGCTTTTTCATCAACTTGTGTCTTCGGAGAAACACAATCTGCCATTTCTTAAGGGTTTACTTAATCCTCCCATTGTTTCCAGAGCAGCCTGGCACGCGCTCTCCCTCTCAAAATTCTGTTTCTTAGAACCCAGGAAGTCAAGCACTTTCAAGCTAAGCTTAACCCAGGACAAAAAAAAAAAAAAAAAAAAAAAAGTTAGTCCTCCTGATCCTTCCTGGGAGATTGCTAAAATTCCTGTTTGCTTGACTCCAGCTATGAAATGGAGATTCTCAAGTGAGATGAAAGACCTGGATGTGGTGGCCCAAACTCTTAATCCCAGTGGTGGGAGGTAGACTCAGCAGAGTCAGGAGTTCAAGGCCAGTTTGGGCTGTGTGAAAAAAGTCTCAAAATAAAGGGGGAGCGGGTCCCTGGGGAGATGGCTCAGTGAGCCAGAGTGCTTGCTGGTCAGGCACGAGGGCCTGAATTCAGGTTCCCTGGAACATGTTTAAAAAGCTGTTTTTTTTTTTCCTGCAAACCCAGTGCTGTGTAAGACAGGGACAGGAGGGTCACTGGGGCTTGACCTCAGCCTAGCTCCAGGTTCAGTGAGAGACCCTCAAGGGAACACACGGAAAGTGGCAGAGCAGGCCAGACAATTCTTCATGTGTCCACTTATACACACACGTGTATGTATTTGTTGCATGCGTGTGTGTGATGCATACACTCACAAACACAGGTTTAAAAATCACAAAAGGGTCAGTTTCACTGGACATGTGATTTTTACTCCTGGGACCTGAGCATCCTGGAGGCTGAGGTAGAAGTGTGAGTTCAAGCCTAGCCTAGGCTACAAAGTAAGATCCCAGTCTGTAGGCCCGAGGAGAGGGCTGGTCTCTTCCAGACTTGCTGCAGAAGTTCATGCTCTCCTGCTCTCTCTCGTTGATCTGCTTGCGCCCATAGGAAAACAAGAGCTGGAGCCTGGCCAGCTCACATTTCCTCTCCTTGTAGGTCACGAGAGCTATGTGACCTTCTGCCAGCTGGAGGATGAAGCCGCCTTCACCTGCAGTGCTGACTGCACCATCCGGAGGTGGGACGTTAGGACCGGGCAGTGTGTGCAGGTGTACCGAGGACACACATCCATCGTGAACAGGTCAGCCAGGTCCGGGGGCGTGAAGCAAGAAGACAGAAATGTAGGACTGACTTTGAGCAGTGTAGCTAGCTGCCTGTGGGAGCCGGGCTTTGGACAGAGGAGCCACAGGAGCGAGGCATCATTAACATATGTTCATTTGTACTCCTCTGGGAGCCAGGCACCCTGACTGCCCCTCTGTGGGGAGGTGTTGGGGCTGTAGCGCCCACTGGGAGCAAATTCCAGAGGAGATGCTCACATGACTCCATGGTAGAGCAGGGGCTCAGAGAAGGAGGAAGCCAGTGGTATTTTTAAAAACTTCCTTTCGTGTGGCTACAGAAGGTCTCCCAGCCTTCCTTAGGATCTGAATGTTTCCCTTTTTGAATTTAGGTTGGACCTGAGCAGTGGAAATTTGTTTGCTGACCGGATCGACTCTGTGTTATTTTTATGACACACGATAGTTGCCCTGGGCTCCCAAGTTCCAAGCGGATGCCTAGCGTAGGGACTCTTGAAGTCACATTGGTAGGAGGGGCCCTACTTGGGAAACACCCAAGGGCCTTTCTGTGTGGACACGGAGGAGAGGACGTGCTGCAGCCAGGCGACCCTGAGTGCTGTGTGGGCCTCCAGACAGGCAGATTCGGATGCTGGGTCGACAGTCTGGAGGTGTCTGCAGGAGGTGGTTGATCTGGGAGAACTCAGCTCCCACAGTTCAGCTGGCCTTGCCCCAGCGAGATGTCTGTTATTGGCTGGGCATGGTAACTTGTGTGTCTTGTCCCAGAACTTGGGAAACTGAGGTAGTGCAGTATCCATGACCAAGGCCAGCCTGGGCTACAGAATGAGCTCCAGATCAGCCTAGCTACAGGAGACCCTGTTTCAAACTCCTACCCCTACACAAAAACAGAGCTGAGGCAGCAATCAGAAGCCAGCCTAGGTGGGCCAGAGTTCATGCCCTCAGATACCAGCTTGTTCTCAGGTTGCCGACCAAAGAACTGTCACAAGCTTCTCTAAACAAGGCGGAAAACACGCTGTACAAGGTTGAGTACCCATGCCCACATATGCATAACACTACAGCACATGGGTACACGCATACATACAGCATCCACGTAACATGCACATGTATGAACAAGACATTCACATAAACACACATATACACAACCACACACATAACTGGGATGCATCAAGCACACGTACATAGAAATGTTCACAGAACGCATGATATATGTCCTATCCACATTCTCAGACAGAATACACACAAACACACACACAGGTACATACGCTGATGACTGTGTTCCCAAATGGGCGAGAGCCTGGAACTCACGTCTGTTTTTAGAGCTAGGCTATGTGTGTGAGCTCCATGCAAACCATCCTTTGACATCCCTACTGTACATCTTGCTACGTCTGCCCAGGGCCACGTAACACCTGGGTTAGTGTCTTTTCTCGTTGGCACTCTCCCTCCCCTGAGGAAGAGCAACTTAAGGAATAAAGGGAGCCAGTCTACCATGGCGGGGAAGGCATGGCAGCAGGAGGCAGCTGGGCACATCGCACCCTCAGTCAGAGAGCAGAGGGGGACAAGCTGGTGCTCAGCTCACTTTCTCCATGGTCCATGGGATGATGTCACCTACTTTAGGATGGAGTGTCCCACTTCAGTTAACCTAATCTACAAAATCATAGATGTACTAGAGGCTTGTTTCCATGGTGATACTAAATCTCATCAAGTTGACCTGAGAACCCCAGTGCCTCCAGAGCTCCCCCCACAGAACATCATAGGTGCTTGTCAAGGGGGTTCTTTGACTCTCAACAGATCAGGAACTTGCTTTGTAGACCAGGCTAGCCTCAGACTCAGACATCCACCTGCCTCTGTCTCCTGAGTGCTGGGATCACAATAGGGATACCAAAGGGTGGTCTGCATGAAGATCACATACACTGCACGTCACCGGTGCTGAGTCAAGAATTCCCAACAAGAATGTCATGTGTAAATAGGCCCTTGGAAGGTCTGTGCAAAGTTCTCTGAAGACAAGCGTGTTTTCCTGGGAGATGGTAGCATTTAGCGGTGTGACAGCAGGTTGTCAACAGTTAGCCCTCATTTAAGTTCCCCTACACCCAGTGGGAAACCAGCCTGCTGCATGAATGCCCCTTCTGATACCTCACTCCAGAGTTCCCTGCCCTCGTTAGTCACGTGACTGGAGTCTGGTCTGTGCCCTGGCACTCCAGTGCTTCTCCTGTGGGATGTGCTGGCAGAGCAGACAGCAGAGGCGCACCCCACACTGCAGCTTGCCTCTTGCGCCTCTGAGCACAGTCTGGTGCCACAGTGGCAGAAGGGCTTCGAAATTCCTTGCAGCCCTCAAGGTAGGTACTCTGGAGTGGCCTTACCAGCCTGCTTGCTGCATCTGGACTGTTCCCAAGGTGACCAGATGGTCTCAGGTAGCCCTAGACTTTCCTCATTGTTTTTGTTTGTTTTGTTTTATGAGACAAGGTCTCACTCTATAGTCTGGGCTTGCCTCAAACTCACCATGTAACCCAGGTTGGCTTTGAACTCAAGGCAATCCTTCTGAATGGCTTTTTCCTATTATAAACAGAACGCTCTGTGTCCCCTCTTCCTCTGATGTGTCTGGCTTGAATAGACTGTTATGTGAATGCATGTGCCAGAGACACGATCCCTGCTGGGCTAAAGGTCAGGCTTGCAGGTCTGTCACAGAGAAAGACCTGAGAATGGGAGAGTGGCTGTGGGGGAGACATGGTGGATGTGTCGGTGTTTAGGGCTAGACCTTGGATAGGTGGATTCTTCTGACCCTAAGTGTTCTGAGCCTGACCCCTTCCCCTCTCACCCACAGGATCCTTGTTGCAAACGACCAGCTCTTCAGCAGTTCCTATGACCGGACAGCACGGGCGTGGACTGTGGACAAAGAGCAAGTGTCCAAGGAGTTCCGGGGCCACCGCAACTGTGTGCTGACACTCGCCTACTCCGCCCCCAAGGACCTGCCCAGTGATCCCTGCTTGGAGGCAGCCATGGGTGGCGGGCTCCTAGTGACCGGCAGCACGGACGACACAGCCAAGGTGTGGCAGGTGGCCAGTGGCTGCTGCCACCAGACCCTTCGGGGCCACACAGGCGCAGTGCTGTGCCTGGTGCTGGATGTTTCCAGCCACACGGCCTTCACAGGCAGCACTGATGCCACCGTCCGTGCTTGGGACATCCTGAGTGGGGAGCAGCTGCGGGTTTTCCGAGAGCACCAGGGCTCTGTCATCTGTCTGGAGGTGAGACCTGTCTAGCTGCTGCCAGGCTGAATGGCCTACTGTGGGAGGAAGGGAACAGGAGGGCCTTATCGCTTCAAACTATTCATAGCATTAAAGCCATCGGTAGCTGTAGTTCCTAGCGCCAATCTGTTCAGAGTATCAGCCCAGCCGTTCACACCATCAGCTCACCTGTTCACACCATCATCTCACTTGTCCATACCATCAGCCCAGCCGTTCACACCATCAGCTCACCTGTTCACACCATCACCTCACCTGTTCATACCATCAGCCCAGCTGTTCACAGCATCAGCATTATGAGTCCTTCAATTCTTTCACAAGTGGAGTTGGTAGAGTTCTCATGTTCTAAACACCTTTTGTTTTTTTTCTGTTTTTGTTTTTTGAAACAGGGTTTTTCTTTGTAGTCCTGGCTGTCCTGGGACTCATCTGTAGGCTGGACTGGCCTTGAACTCAGAGCTTCCTCTGCTTCTGCTTCCTGAGTGCACACACCACCACCCAGCTCATTAAATACCTGTTACTAGGCATCCCCAATCCCACACTCATTAATTTATTTATTATTTGTTTATTTTGAGACAGGGTTTTACTGTGTACTCCTGGCTATCCTGGAACTCTGTGTAGATCAGGCTGAACTTGAAGTCATAGTGATCCACCTGCCTCTGTCACATGCATGCTGGGATTAAAGCTGTGCGCCACCACACCCAGCCCTGGCTCACCCCCACACTCTTGCACTGGGGAAAGTGTCCAGTGTATGCTTTGTGGGAGATACATTCAGAACTCAGCAGTGGAGAGCTCTGTAGGAAAATGGACACTAAGTCGCCTAAAGAAGAAGATTCATGAAAATCTACCCAGACAAAGGGGAGTGACCTGGTAGAGAAAGGGACTTGCAGCAGGCTGGCTGAGCTAAGTGTGATTGAGAACCCCTGGGATGCTGGTGCTGTGGAAGCCAGGGGGAAGCTGAAGGCCATTTGGGCTATACAGTGAAATCCTGTCTGAAACAGGCAGGGCTGGGGAGATGGCTCAGGGGTTTGTTGCACAAGCTGAGGACCTGAGTTCATCCTGGAACCATGTAGAAAAGCTGCATATGGGGGCGTGTGCCTGTAACCCCAGCTCTGGAGAGGCAGAGGCAGGTGGATCCCCATGGCATGTTGTCCAATCAGCCTAACCTGGGTGAACTCTGGATGCCTGAGGGTCAGCAGAGGTTGGCCACCGGTCTCTCTCTCTCTCTCTCTCTCTCTCTACACACATACACACACACACACGTGAACGCACATATATACACACACAAAAATAAACAACATTGACAAGAACCCCAAAGGCCTGACCTAGGTCTGTGTATTTTCTGAGCTGAGTTCCTGTCTCTGATGGTACTAACCTTTTTCTTCTAGAGACAGAACTTTTTCAGCTTTTAGGAGAGCGAGGAGGACCTGAACACACTGCCTCTGCTGCAGTGTTTGGGGTTGTATATCCTATCAGCCTTCATAGTCTTGGGCACCAATTCTCTCACCCAACAGACATCACTGGTGACAGCAGCCTTTCAGGTCTCTAGGGGCTGAGTATGGAGGTGACATGACCCTCATCTGGAGCATGACTCACTGTGTCCCCACTTAGCAGGAGTCCTGGGGGCATGCTGTGGGTGAGGGTAGTGTGTGGGCAGAGGGCTTCTGTTTATGCCTGGGCACTGAGCTTGCCAGTTAGTGACAAGGCTTCCCCGTGTCCTCTGACTCTCCCGAGGCTCTGCTACCGCTCACGAGTGCCTTCAGCTGGGGGCCAAGGCTTTACTAGTGAGTCTGTGGAGGAGGAGCACCAGGGGAGAGGCTCTGCCTGAGTGTGCAGCTCTTCCTGGGGTCTGCAGGGCTGTATGGGAACTAGGGGTCTCTGTCTGCGTCTGAGGGGCACTGTCTGGAATCTGCAGGGCTATGTCTGGGGTCTGTAGGCTTTCTAGGGCTCTGCCTTCTGAGCTCAGGTTCCCCGGGGAAAGAGGAGCCAGCACTGAGTGTGGGTGGTGGGGAGTACCTTCCGGAGTCACCCTGCTTTTCCCCACTGAGATCTGCCAATGTTCCCTGCCTTGTAGATAATGATTTGAGGTCTACCTGGCCACCAAGGTCAACGGATTGGCTCTTCTGCTTCTCCTACAGCTCACAGATCGGCTCTTGTACACGGGCAGTGCAGACAGGACTGTCAAGTGCTGGCTGGCGGACACTGGGGAGAGGGTGCGCACATTTCCGGCACACAGACACAGCGTGAGCGCCCTCAAGTACCATGCAGGCACCTGTAAGTGATCTGTCCCGGCACTGCCCACGCCACACCAGTCTGCCCACCCTACCTTCCTCTCCTGACTCCCATGCCTGCATGGTTTGCTGTCCCTGAGCCCAGCTGCCTTTCCACTTTAGAGGGGGCTGAAGGTGAATGGTTCGTTGGGTAGGGAGGAAGCTGTCTCCTAGGTCTCAGATGGTCACACATCTGGGCCTTCATCACATTCTCAGCTTCACTGATGGCTGTCCATCAAAAGCCCCTAAGAGAAGCAGTTGTTAGACTCCCATAAGGCTGGGCCTACGAGTGTCTTCCCAGTGGAAATGCTCTAGGAGTTAGCCTGACGTGGAGAAGTTATTTTTCCTTCCTCCTGTATCCACACTTTAGTGTGAACATAGCTCTGCTCCCTGGTCAGGGATCTCTCTCTTAACTGAGCACAAAGTGGTTAGCCCCCAGACACTGTCAGCTGGCCTCCTCTTGGTGGCAAGGGGCACAGCTGTGCTGAAGTCACTCTCCACAGGCCGCTCTCACTATGACAGATCTTGGTTCTTTGCCAACAAGGCTGCTACTGAATGTGCTTTGCTCCCGACCCTGTCTACTCTCAAGATGCCCAGCAACCCCATGGGGGCTGGACCCTGCTGCTGAGTTTGGGGAGAGGCAAGGAAGGAACTGAGGAAACCCAGCAAGGAAACTCCCTCCCCAGAGCCCTGTGCACCCTCAAGCTTTAACAAAAGGGCAAGTATGTACAGATCAAAGCAGGACAGTGTAAGAAATAGATACCGAAAAAAAAAAAAAAAAAAAAAAACCAGAAGCAGCCTAGAGGGGCAAATACAAGGTGGCCTTGGAGTCTCTCCTGTTGCTATCACAGTCAGACAAAAAGCAACACAGGGAAGAAGGGGTTTGTCTTACAAATCCAGGTTGCAGGGAAGCCATAGCAGCCAGAGCTTGTCAGATGCTCACAGCAGGAGAAGTGAGTGCTCCCGTGCTGCCTGCTTCCCCCAGCTCACTTTCCTCACTCCTGCAGTTCAGGGCCCAGCCCATGAAGCACCTCCCACATTCAGGGTCTTTCTACCTTAAGTCACAACCAGGATGTGACTCAGGCTACCCTGACCTAGATAATTCTGCACTGAGGAGACTCTTCCCTGCAGTGAGTCTAGGTTGTGCCAAGGTGTCAGTTAAAGCTAAGCAAGTAGGATTGCTGGGAACTGATACCCAGGAGCACCCTCTCACCACGGGTATTGAAGGTTGTGTGGCCCAGCATCCTTACCTCCTAGCTGGACCTAGTTTCCCCCATCCTCACCTGAGCCACTCTGCTCACTAAAAGGCCCTGTGTCGTTTCATCCCTATCACCTCCATGCTTCCTGCATTGTCTACCATGTGAACTGCTGGCCTCCTGGTGTGTGTGTGGGTAGCTTCTGGGGAAGTCAGCGTAGGATGGTAAGTGAACCACCGAATTCCCACAGTTGACTACTTCAGGTGGCCAGCCTTATCAGTACTGATTAAAAAGAAATTGCAGGCCCCCACCACTGCAGCAGGAACTGAGATGACAATTAGCAGTCTGTCTCAGCAGGTCTTCCAGAGACCGTGGTGCCCTTGATGCCAGCGCACCAAGTTATGACAGAGGAAGACCCCAAGGAGGGACAGATGGGGTCTAGGCTCTGCTTCAAGGCCACATTCCTGAGGAGGGTGGATGGGCTGGCCCTGGGGACACGTGACGGATGGGCAGGGCAGAGCCTGCAGAACGTGGTGTCCTAGAAACAAGGCAGAGAAGAAAGATGGGCACCTGGCACAGGGCCACTCAGGACAGCACAAGCTGACTGAAGTCAAGGAAGGCATGGCAGCCAGACTATGCAAAGGTATCTTCACAGCAAAGGTGTCCCAGAGCCCTCAGTGTCCTCCCTGACTTCACAGGACAGAGCCCAGCTTCCCTTCAGAAGGCTTCCAGATGTTTCCCATTTGACCCTTAGGATGTCTCTGTGGGGCAGGTGGGGGTCCCATTCCTGGGGAGGTGACAGCCAGGAAGGGTCCAGTGTACTGCTGTGTGTCCACAGTGTTCACAGGCAGTGGGGATGCCTGCGCCCGGGCCTTTGATGCCCAATCAGGAGTGCTGCAGAGGGTGTTCCGAGGCCACACCTTTGTCATCAACTGCCTCCAGGTAGGACTCTCCCTACCCAGCTCCATACTGCCCCAGGGAAGCAAGGGGCTTCCCATGGGAGAAGACTCCAGGGGCCTGCTCATGGCTGACAGCTGTCCCGCCTGCCCACAGGTCCATGGTCAGGTGCTCTACACAGCATCTCATGATGGTGCTCTGCGTCTATGGGACGTACGTGGACTCCAGTCGGTGCCACCTTCACCACGCAGACCAGCAGCCAAGCGCAGCCTATCACGCCTCTTTAGCAATAAGGTGGCCTGTGCAGCCCCAGTGCCCCTGCAGCCAGCCTGAGTACCTGGAGAGGAGATGGTCAGTCTGCGATTGCAGGCACGAAGTTCAGCCAGCCTGCCTCCAGTTCTGATGTCTTATGCTGCCAGGCCCTCTCTGCTGAGGAAATGGGACTTCTTACAAGAGCCATTGACAAGTTATATGTCACAGACTCCTCCTGAAGAACTCAAATACATGTCAAAGTGCTCTACGTTCTTTGTTTTCCTTTTGGAGGCCTGTTGGCCTGCCATGTATGTGCCCTCCAATACCTGGCCCGGATTATCTCCCCTCTGGTTAACAAAGTTTGTGAAGCAAAGTCTTTTACACAGATCTTGGGAGAGGCTGGGGAGCAAGGAACCCCTCTTCCAACCAGGACCTTGGAGTACCCACCCATTTTTGGACATTAATCCAGGAGTTCTGTCAAGGTCTGGCAATGAACAGCTAGGGAGAAGTCTGGTCTTGTGCAGAAATGCCAGCACTATGCCAGATGTGGTGAAGTCACTGGACACATGCAGGAGCCATTGGTGGCTGGAGGGGTGGCTCAGTGGTTAAGAGCATGTACTGTTCTTGCAGAGGTCGAGAGTCTGGTTCCCATCACTTATGCTGGGTTGTCAGAACCACCTATAACTAGTTCTGGCTTCCATGGCACCTGTACCCACATTGCATGCACATAGCTGAACACAACAGATACATGTATAATTTAAAAGTAAAGATAATTTTCTTTTTATTTATTTGAAATAGGATTTCTCTGTGTAGCCCTGGCTATCCTGGAACACACTCTGTAGACCAGGTTGTCCTTGAACTCAGACATCTGCCTGCCTTTGCCTCCCTAGTGCCGGGATAAAAGGCATGCGCCACTACAACCAGCACCCCTTTATAAATTTAAACTTCTGTTATCTCCTCTAGATAGAAACCTGCCAGGAGGGGTGGGAGGAGGGATGGGTGCCATCTGGGAGCCTCCTTCAGAGTGGGGTCCCAGTGTCTGTGGGCTGCTTACATGTGGTACTCTTGAATGCTGAGCTGGAGGCCCCCTCTGGCCACACCAAGACAGGGAGGGTAGTTTAGTGGCAGAGTGCTTGTTTAGCCTTTTATAAGGAGGAAGCAGGTGTCTAGGACACATGTCCAGTTGGCCAGGAGAATAGACAGGTATGGCAGTTTTAACCAACATAAGACAGTTTCAAGTAATGTAATCAGGATCAGTGACATCAGCTTCAGATTGACTTCACTCCCCATAAGCACGCTCCATGCCTGCCCTGCTTCTCCAAACTCTGCCTATTCTGCCACCTCTTGTTAAGTCCCCACCTGCTTATTGGGACTCTGCACAAAGTCTCAGCAAACTCTCATTCCTCTCCCCCAACACACCCTCTTGGTGCACCCAAACCGTCTCCCCCAATTCCTGAGTCACTCTCACCCCATTTCCCCACAATCCTATCCCTAACAATTTGTGCAACTCTGGAATATTCTCTTGACTCTGAGGAGAATTTCTCTCAAACCCCACTCTGGTGGTCATTAACCATCCACTTCAGCTCCCTGCTATGGTCACACCCTATCCAGGCAAGGGCATCTTGCTGGTTCTGCTTGCCCATGCCCACACTGTACATCTCTGTGGGCAGACACATGCAGTCAGGGCCTGATGGCATGGCAGCGATGCCCTGGCTCCCTGTGTTCTCCATCAGCATTTAAACAGCTGGGAATCCAGAGAGCACAGCTGGCACCATGCCCAGGATGGTGCCTGGTCGGCCAGCAATTTCAAGGTAACTCCACCTTGTCCTGCACTTTTGAAGGCACACTTGCTGGGACTCACTCTTGGTCATACCTGAACCCTGCTGATGCTGGAGGTGTAACCCATACAGGCCCAGCAGGGCTCTGCTGCAGAGCCACACTCCAGCCTCTTGCTGCTTTGGAGGGTAATGCTCCACTCACCCTCAACACACAGAATGGAATGATCGTGTGAACAACTGGGAAGCAAGTCACTGCAGCTAGGCCAAAGACATCCAATTACATTCTCCACGTTTATTTCAATATCATCCACTTTCAAAGAATAGTAAGGGGGCCAACGAGATGACTCATCAGGGAGCGGGGCTTGCCACCAAGTCTGACAACCTAAGTGCAGTCCTTTGTACCCACATGTGGAAAGAGAACAAATCCCTACATGTTGTCCTCTAAACCCCAGTTTTCTTCATGACATGTTTTCCCTACCCCCAAATAAATATATGCAATCAAAAAAAAAAAAAAGCAAGAAACAATTCTACTTGTTCAGCCTAGTCAAGGCTTCAGGTGAACTGAGACCCTAGGGTCTCAGGTACACAGTGGTACTTGACTCATTCCACACCTGGCTGCTGCCATGCCTTGGGTGCCAGAAGGCTATCCATCCAGTCCATACCCAGGAAGAACCAACCAGAGGCTGATATGTCCCTCTAGGAACAGTCCTGTGACCCAGTTATAGAAAACCCAACAAGAGACTTGAGAAAGCACATCTCAGACTCAGGTCTTCTAGCTATCAGTGAGTTTTCTCTGACAGCAATCTAAAAATGTAAACTAAAAAATTGTTTCAGTTAGCATTTAAAACTTCTATTTAATAAGAGACTTTCACTTTGTATGAGGAATTCAGAATTTACAGAAACTCTGATTTGCAACCTTGAATTTTAAGTACAGATTTTTACTGATCTAAGAGCATAAACGCTGACATTTCAAGATCAAGGTATCTGCCACCATTTGGTGTGGGATTGCGGCCTGTATCTCATTGTGCCCACAGCACTTGGAATGAAGAGTCAAGGGGTGTGGCAGGGTGAGCAAGGGCTGAGGTAAGCTTGCAAAGCAGAGGCAGTGGCGGAGGAGGGCAGCAGCAGGTCTGGAGGGCTAGTGAGAGGCAGGCAGGAGACACCCTGCCTCCATTGGAAAGCCTGCTCCTCAGTTCTGATGGAAAACTGACAGTGACAGGGTTAGAGATGCAGACCGGAGGCAGAAGGGAAACAGCAGAGCCAGGGAATCCCCTTTTCTAGACCGTCTTTCCCAACAAAGCCTCTCTTCACTATGCTGGGTCCCTGTACCTGAGGAAAAAGCCTACTTGGAGCAAAATCGTTGAAAAGCAAGAGGTACGCAAAGAAGAGCTGCATTCGACCATTCGCAACGACAGATTTATAGGCAGAAATGTAGCACTAATTTCTGTTCAGTTGTTCTTTGCAGCAGACCTTACACTTTCCACATAGGACAAGTACTCGGCAATAACGACTTCTTCGTCCTCCAGAGTTGAGTCCAGGTAGTCCTCCTCGTGCTCTGGAATGTCCTCCAGGATCTCGTTGACAGCCTCTGTCTCCATGTCTTCATCTGTTGAGGCACTAGAGGTCCCTGCAGAGTCAGACGGGGATGTGGACGCTGTGGATGAGGAGTCCTCTCCTGAGAACTGCAGGTCTGGAGGAAGGCTTCCTCCATGGTGCGCAAGGGTCTGAGCTGCTACCTGGACATTGCCTCCAAATATCCTTAGCGCTGCTTCAGCCACCACTGTGTCGAAACCCATGTACACCAGCTAGGAGAGATCATAGGGTTAGGACTGTGACCGTGAGCTCAGCTCATACTGCCATGTGAACCACCACATCCATGCTCTTGTCACCTCACAGCCCAGCTAGGACAACCCTGCTTCCTAGGTTAGTATAATTACAGAATGCTGCATTCATTCTCTTCAGTCCCAGAAGATGCCAGGCCATGCAGAAAGGGCTCTGAAGACCAGGTGTCAACAGGGGCTAGGCACTCACCTCAGGACTGGCCACCATGGTGCTGAAAGCAAGTGCCATGAAAATCTAACTATGAGTACCATAGGTTACGTGGCCACAGTATGTGGGACATGCTAAAGTGCAGTCTAAGTGTGGATGAAGACTCATGAGGCTCAAGGTGGGCTGAGTTTCACGGGATAGTGACATCCTCTTAGGTCCCAGGCAGAGAAACAGGACTGATGTTAGCGGTGGAACATAGGAAGGGGGGGAACCGAGAAATGAAGGCAAAGGTACCTCCTGCTGCAGGCCATCATTCTTGCTGTTTTTAGGGGACAGAATCTCACTATACAGCCCTGACCTAGAACTTACTCTGTAGACCAGGCTGGCTCTAAACTCAGGCTGGCCCCTCAGGTCCATGCCCGTCCCCTTTCCTCACTCGAACCCTGTACCCACATCCGTACCACTACAGGGATGGCAGGCCCTGCTGCAGCCTAGAGGCAGACACATGCCGTCCTGCCACCACCCTACTCATCCCAGTCAGCCCGCCCACGGTAAGACGCAGTACACCTGGCACTCACTTGGTCGATGCTTTCCTGAGAAGGACTTGCTTGATGGCTGCTGTTTTCAGAGTCTGAGTCCTGTAGCCACCACATGTGGGGGTTACTGAGGAGAATCTGAAAGCACAGGGACACCCTTTATTCCGCACACTGTCTCTTACATGCAGTTGTACAGCCCAGAGCTGTCCACTAGCGGGACAGATGAGTGCAGGATGTCACCGTTGGCCGTGCAGAGAGTACCTTGAAGCAGGAAAGGGAACTGGCTGGCTAGAATCCAGGGATCCTGTTTCTATGCCCCAGTACTAGCATGTGCCCCACCACATGTAGCATTTTAACCTGGGCCCTGGGGCTCAAACTCAGGTCCTCATACAAGACAAGTCCTTTCTGACTGACTTCTCCCCAGCTTCAGGACCTACTGAAACTAACTGTTCAAGCTCACTGGTTTCTTCAGATGGCTAGAATTTAATGTGCTTTTCATGTTTGCCTAGCACAGAAATCTCAAGTGCCATAGTCAAATTACATTCTCATTTTTAATTACATACAAATTGGGCATGCTGGCATACACCTTTAACCCCAGTGCTCAGGAGGCAGAGGCAGGCAGATTTCTTGAGTTTGATGCCAGTCTGGTCTCCATACAGAGTTCCAGGACAGCCAGGGCTACACAGTGGGATCCTGTTAAAAAAACATAAAACACACACACAAAGCAGAGGATGGGGAAAAGATGGGTACACTAGCAACCCCATCTACACAAAGATATACGAAGAGCAAAAGAAGGCTGTGGAAACAGCCTGGAGGCAGACCAGTGGGGTGCAGCCAGCTGCTCAGACTGAAGCCTAGAAGCATTACCTTCAGGGCGTCGTCCAGGTTGCCTCTGGCCTGGTGAAGGGCCTGTTTGGCAGCATGTGTGGAGTAGCCCATTCCTTTCAAAGACTTGATATTTTCCAGGCGGCGTCTCCTCTTCTCCTTCTCCTCCTTCCTTATTTGGGCCAGTTCCTTTAGGAAAACAAGTCCTTGAGTTAGGGTTGGAGGCAGCGCAGGAATCTGAGGCTCTGTTCTACAGGGTGTCTCAAGGTCTCTGGGTTGGTGAACAACTAAGCAAAAAGGGACCCCTACCTATCCTTGCCAAGAAAAGAGGCAAGGGACACAGGGACAGGGTTAGGGCTGGGCTCTGAGATCAGGAGTGGAAACAGCATCAGCCCAGCACCTCAGGAACCAAGCATCCAGCATAAGAATGGACAGGTTCTTATGTGCTGAGGTGTTGGAGGCTCCCACAGGTAAGCAGCTATAACACCATGGCAGAAGAGTTTCTTCTGCCCCTTCTGTGGCCCACGAACTGCTGTGCTTCAGGGTTACCCTGGGAAATGGGATCCATACAAGAAGAGTGTCTGGCTGGAAAGCCCTAGGAGACTATGCCAGCTTTGAGAGAAGACTGACAGCAAATCCCAGCTCGCTCTGGACCTCAAG